TGCTTAAAAAAAAGATTTATATAGTAGCCCATAATATAATAGTGAAACATAAAGTCAGGAAAATGTCTCATAGAAAATGTTTTTTATTTGCATTTCAACTTAAATCAATGTATTTCTGATAGCAAATGACATGTATCTCTTGGCCCTGGGAATATTACATGCCAGAAACACGGGGAGCGTGAGTGAAGTGTCCATTTCCAACCGTCACCCACTGTATGTCTGGCTTAAGGTTGATACTGATAACATGTGAGGTATCATCATTTTATGTGATTGTAAGATGTATTTAGATGAACCGGGATGTTAATGAGTAGTAAAGGATATAATGAGGAAATTATTAACTATGTTAGTTTCAATAAACAGTGGAATTTGTCCGCTAGCGAGTTGTTAGTACAAAATGCTATTCCTCATAAGGTGCTGTTCCCATAGTGATGAGCCTCAGACCTGACCCTTTGTATATTCAGTTTCATACAAATAGACAACATTAAATTAATCCTGTCTCCTGTCAACACAGGGAAAGAACATCAAGAAGGAAAATTTAAGGTTACACCAATACAAAACCATTCAGCAAAATCCTCTCATGCTCTCTCAGCTCACCCCCATCATCAGTCAGGAAGGCCCCCTTGGGAGAAGCAGGCACTGAAGAATCCCAGATATCGATTGACTTTGGGTAGCCCCTGTCAGCAGACCGTGACGTCTCATCGAAGCGCCAGTATCTGAACATAGCGGGAAAAAGACCATTTCTTTTTCATTTTTTCTTTTGCTAATCAACTGTCTTAACAAGGACGGACTAGAGTTGATACTGGTCGCATTTAGTATTCAATCAGCTCATAATGAACACTATACGTATCAATGTAAGCTGAGATGCAGTTATCTCAAACTGGTCATGGTGGCACTAAAGGAAGAACCAGAAGATTGTCAAGATCAGTTGGAAACATGATCTCCCTACCAAGGAAGGGGATACATTTTATATTGACATTGCTCATAGGCTGCAGACGTTACCTGTCTCCTTGGAAAAAGTAAGTGTAGCCAGACGGTTCCCACCAGATGGCTGTATCTATCCGATCATATGGAATATCTCGCCCATAATCAACCAGCTCCTGAGGGTAGCCTGGTTCAAGGTTTGCCTCCCTGAAGAGCCAGAATCTGTTCGCTGGGAAATAGGGGACAAAAAATATCAGAGAGTTCATTTTTATTAATTAACAAGCACGATCTATATAGCCAATGATAAGACATACATGACAGTCTTTTTTTCATGTGGATGAATCTAGTATTTATGTTACTACTTATGCAAAAACTCAGCTCACTACTGGACAAGCTCAGAGATGCACATGCTCATCCATTTCAACTGCCTGTAATCCGGGACAAGAACCGTCACAAAAACCATGCCTTCACTAATATTTAGTGTTAATGACACGATATTGACATTTTCTAGTATTTTTTCTGGTCCAAAACTTTAATACATATGATTGATGTAATAATTTTAAGGATGCCCGAATAAAACCATTTTAATCAAACACAACCTCTGCCATTCAGAGCACTCTGGTGCTGCTTAGGAGAAAGTAGGAGTGACGTATGCAGGAACAGTGGATTAGTTATGGATAGCTGCTGAAGTTTTAATGGATTCAGATACAGCTATCACTTTGTGGTGCAGCGTTTTGCTTCAACCCTCATAAGGATGGTATCAGAATATTTACGTTTTCTAAGGAACCCTTTCTAAGTGGGTGAAGGTCAAATGAGATTGAGATATGTTGGAGCACTCCATGGTGTCTCTGCTGTGCTTGGAACATTTGGTGAAGGATGTGTTTTTTTATTTTATTTCCACACTGAAAGATTTGCTTGGTTGTTCATGTCAGTAAATGGAGGAGTTTGTAGCTGGACCCAAGGTGCAGTGGCAGAGATGAGTTCTTGCAGATCTATTGCAGCCAATGTAAAAGTCCAAAACTAAACAGCCGAGGAACACAGGAACCAGAACAGAGTTAAGAGGAGGTGTGTGACAGCAGGAACTGATGAAGACATAAAATAATAAAGACCATCCAGAAAAGACAAATATATATATATATATATATATATATATATATATATATATATATATATGGGGGGCAACGGAGTAACTGTGAAACATAAACTAAAGCTGCAAACAATGAATGGAAAAATAAAACTAGGGCCATTACTCAATATGTGTACTTGTGTGTTCTCATGTGCTTGTGAAACTTCATCAGCTTCAGTGCTAGTACTGTTCCAATTCACCAAAACGCAAGACCGACAATTTCCTATCCTGTCCTTTCTTATAAAAAGGAAGAGACTATCAGGAGGTGAAATGCAGTTTCAGAGCAGCCGAGTATTTGGTGACGTCACGAGTACGCATCTGTTCCAGTTGACCCATATTTATGCTGCGTGCTCCCGTTCTTTCTGAGTCCACACTTTCATATTTTCCTCTCAAGAACATACCTGGCGAGGACACGAGTCTGTACTCGCATTCCTGTGAATTGAGAAATGGCCTAAAGAATGCTGAATATAAGGTAACTGAAAAAAAACCAAACAGGAACAGTAAATCCAAGAAGTCATTAAAAAAATATATATTTTTTAACAGTAAACACAGAAAGTGAACTAAACAGAACCAAAAATACCAGACCGGCAGATCATAACAGTTTAGAAAAAATTAAAATCAGCCGCTGTCAGCAGCAGTACCTAAGGTGGAGAGAGGGAGACCATTAGGCGGTGTTTGAGCCAGACACCGCCTAATTGTAGTAAGAAATTAAAAAAATATTCAGAAAAGAATTGGAGACTGATGTGGAGCTTAAGTGGTAGATTGCTGCTGTTCCAGATGATGAACCAAAGCTAACTGTTATTAGCTTCCGTAGCACAACCATAGGCTAACTTCAAGGTTATAATGTGGCTCTGCCTTCTGTATTGGATGTTCCATAGGTTTTAACAGAAGATTCAGAGGAATTTATCATGTTTTTTATTTTTTTATTGAGGTGAGGGGTTCTCTTTATTGTTGTGCTGGAAACATACAGATCTGACAGCCGTGGCTCTGAGAGAAGGGTGAAGTTGCTAGCTATACCTTATGGTAGATGATTTCTCATAACATCGGCGGAGGATTTATTTGAAAATCATGTTCATTTAAAGTATTATATACTAATTTATATTTACAAACTAAAAACTGGTTCTATTATCTGTACCAGAGGTGTAGCAGCTGTGTTTCCCTGCCGTGTGTTTTCTAGCGGTGTTGCTGCTGTCACATTAGCATCACCCTCAGAGTCAGACTCTGTGGGCTGGAGGTTTGCTCTGGATGGTTCTGACCTGAAACCTGTGATGCCTCCATGTCCCGCAGCATCACTTCCCTCTCCTGAGCTTGAACTGGCTGATAGCTTAACCACACAAACCAATTCCAGGCTAGATGTTCTGGAACAATCATCAATCCATCTCCATTGTAGCATGCTGTGGGTTTTTACCAGCTGTAAATCAGAGTTCTGCTGTGGTGCTACTGAATGTAGGATATCAGTTTTAAAATAAGCCCATGCGATTCCTAAAAACTCTCCTAAGTTATGTTCTGCTGCGTGATTTTAATGCAAACTTACATGAAATCAGTATCATGTCATCAAACCTTTAAACATCAGAAAGATGCAATGATCGCTGGCTTTCAGAAAAAAACAACAGCAGCAACTTTGGCATCATTAATGAGGAATTTGGGGTTTGGCTGTAAATTCTAGATTAGAACCTGCTTGTCTTCTGTCAGACTAAAGCTAAATTGATCAACCTCTTTTTAACAGTATGACTGCCAATAATGAAGGGATAGGTTGTACTAAAGCCCCTAGCGCTGCACATTTATGCTCAGAATTTCTTCCAGGTCAGTAATCAGTTCCCAGTACCTCGCCGGTTCCAGATCAGTATTAAAAAAATTTCATGTTTGCTTGATGGCAACTGATGGCTTTAGCTCCTTCTGTATTGTCCTGCTGAGTGACCTCTACTACTTGAGATTCATACAGCATTTCCCGGACTTGTGCCACATCAACACTACCCCTCTGAAACCGATCCATGCTGAGTTCGGACCGAGCTTGGAGTAGTTTACCCTGCTGAGCTTGGTTTTTGCAACCATTTACACATCCCGCTAGCATTGCCCCCTATTCTCCTGAGTGCTGCACGATTTTACACGAGTGAATTAAGTGAATGTGATTGGTCATTTATTAAGGGGGCGTGATTATTGTGGCAGAAGGTTTGCATGCAAGTTTTATTGTGGCCGGTTTGTGGGAAGCATCTTGCTAACCAGTTAGCAACTTAGTGCTAGAAGGGTCCCAATGGGAAATTCCCTTGGGATCAAGTAGCACCAAATTGGTG